GCGCAGCGCGCGGCTGCCGGGCGCCTGGGACCCCGGCGCCCACCAGGGGTAGGCCGCGGCCTCTGGGGGCCACCCCAGCTCAGCCTGGGCCCCGGGCTGCGGGATGGCACGGAGGAAGGGAAGATTGGGGTGCCCCGAATGCCCTCTCGGGCCCCCATCCCGCCCCCCGCAGCGCGAGCTGCCCCCCCCTAGACAAAGATGCGCAGGGCCAAAGGCCGGCTTGCCCGCGACCTCGGGCGGAGGGTCCCCACCTCTCCACTGCCCGCGACCCGCAGGGCTCGGGCCTGTCCCCACCTCTGTCCCCCCTCCCGCGCGGGCCCGGCTACTCGCCCGTCCGACCTTTGCACGGGTGCCCACCCCCCTCTAGAAAGGACCAGGTCCTTGGGGTGCGGGTGGGAGTTGGCGAGGCCAGGGCAGAGTTGGGTGCAGGAGAGCCCGCCCCGGGGGATATCCAGATCCTAAAAGCAAACGAGCCCTTCCACTAAAAATGACACGCCACTCACCCGCTGCCGGGAGCCGATCCCGCGCACAGCGACCTTGGAGCGCAGAGTAGAACCATCCCGGGTGCGTCTCGACGCCGTCGGTCTTCCAGGAAGCAGACTGCCACAGCCTTTTCCTTTGGAACAGCCGTGGGCCCGACTTTCTTTTTGGCAGCAAGTGCCCTAACCATTGTGCCACCAGGACACCTTGAAACCCCTCATGCTACCCCATGTTTTGTATGTGGTGGTTGACACAAATTAAGAGTTGAGTTTTCCAATCGTGATCCCCACCCCCTCACCCCGCCCCATGTCAGCCTCTCTCCATTTCTGCATTCCCAAAGAGGGAGCCTCGGGTACTGTTTTTGTGCCGAGGGGAACCAGAAAGCCTGGGGTTCAGCTCCTCTCAGGGGGCCACCCTGCATCTCAGTCTGGTCAGGAAACGCCTAAGTCCCAGCATCCCAGTTTCTCCAGCTCCACCAACCACTTCCATGTTAGGTTATTGAGGAGCACTGCTGGCGTACTAGACTGCTAACCCTAAGGTCAGGAGTTCAAAACCACCGACTGCTCAAGAGAAAGATGAGGCTTTCCACTCCTGAAAACATCACAGTCTCGGAAACCCACGGGGGCGGTTCTGCCCTGTTGTAGAGGGTCACTAGCGGTCAGAATCGACTCGATGGCAGTGTCATTAGGTTGTCCCCTATGTGATGTAAAGGACAACAGGAATCTATTCCCGTGCTTTAAAATCGACGAGAAGGGATGCTCATAGCCCTTTAGAACCCCCTCCCCTAAATCTTTTTTTTTTTTGTTAAATAAAAAAGCAACATCCTTTATATGTAGTAAACGTTTTATAGTTTACAAAACCCTTCATACCAATGGTCTTATGTTACCTGAGGAACAGAGCGAAGTGTTGAATATGTTCTCCTATTGTATGTTGACTGAACGCTGGTTACAGTAACCCCAGGGGCTCTACAGGGGGGCCCATTGCTTGGTCTTAACAGCATTGCCCTCTGGGTAATGCCCTCACTTGCACACCCACTCTTGGAAATCCACCCCTCCCCAA